CCGGGAGCGCGGGCTACTGACGGCCGGAGGTAAGGAAATCAAGAATCGCCAGGAAATCCTAGAACTGCTGGATGCGCTGTGGATGCCCAAGAAGGTAGCCATCATTCACTGCCGAGGGCACCAGAGAGGAAGTGACCCCGTGGCGAGGGGTAACGCCCTGGCTGACCTGGCGGCCAAAGAGGCGGCGGGAGAGGAGGCTGCAGGAGTACTCCCCATGGTGCCTACCCCAGTGCTACCTTCCCCGCCTACTTATAGTAAGGGAGAGGAAGTAGAAGGGAGGAGGCTAGGGGGAAAGGTAGACAAAGGAGGTTGGATGGTGCTCCCGGATGACAGGCTTTACCTGCCCAAGGGAGTGCTAACCCATGTAGTCCGAGAAATGCATGCGAGCTCACACCTAGGGCGGGGAAAACTAGAAAAGTTAATATTAAAATATTACAGGGCTCCTAATCTAAGGGAGGTTATAGAGTCTGTAGTGTCCAGATGCCAGACATGCGCCAGGGTAAACGCGCAGAATCAAAAATGCCCTCAATTTATCAGGCATAAGGGAAATGCCCCTGGAGAGATCTGGGAGGTTGACTTCACTGAAATGTCAAAAGGGAAATTGGGATACAAATACCTCTTAGTTCTAGTAGACACCTTCTCGGGCTGGGTGGAGGCCTTCCCCACAAAGGGTGAAACGGCAGCCACGGTAGGGAAAATCTTAGTCCGAGAAATAATTCCCAGATATGGCATTCCCGTGGCGATTGGATCAGATAACGGGCCTGCCTTTGTATCCCAAATATCCCAAAACCTAGCTGGGAGACTGGGCATAACCTGGAAATTGCACTGTGTGTATAGACCCCAAAGCTCAGGGCAGGTAGAGAGAATGAATCGGACATTGAAGGAAACATTAATTAAATTAAAGGAGGAGCTTGGGGAGAACTGGGTAGAATTGCTCCCCTTCGCCTTATTTAGGGCTCAATGTACCCCGTACACAGGAGGGTGGACGCCTTATGAAATCATGTACGGGCAGCCTGTGCCACTAGTGCCCAAGCTGACTAGAGAGGAGATGGAGGCCTCTAATCATAACTTTCTAAAGTCCTTACAGGCACTGCAGGCCCTCAGAGAAGAAGTCCGGAGCCTACGAAGGGAGGAAAAGGAGGCAAATGAAAGAGGCGGTGCTGGCGAACTAAGGACACTGGACCCCGGTCAATGGGTATGGATCCTGAACCACCGGCGAGGAAGCCTTGAACCCAGGTGGATCGGGCCATTCCAGGTACTGCTAAGCACCCCGACTGCCGTTCGGGTGGCTGAGAAACCCTACTGGATACACCTCTCCCACATTAAGCCAGCTCAGGACCCCAGTGAAGAAAAACCATGGAGAGTTCGACAGGACCCAGGAAAGCCTCTCCGGCTCTCTTTTACCCGCTCTTAATATTGATTGGATTAAATTGGGAAACGAGCGGGTATGAACTCCGGGAATGGGTGTTAATAAGGACGAGGGATGGAACTGTACTTGCCAAGAACCAAACATGGGGGGAGAGGATTGTTTCCTTTAGGGTAGATTTCTCTAAATTCTTCGATGACAAATTTTGTGACTCCCCAGCAGCATGGAGACATACTGATTCCGTGGAGGGCCCCCTCCAGGACAATCTCCCCTCTGCCTATACAATAGGCCTAAGTGATTGTGACTCTAACACCAAGAATAGGGCTTTATGGTACACCCCTTACTATGCTTGCCCTGAGCCACCCCCGGGGAGGAGGCGGACCTGCGGATCCTATACAGACTTCTATTGTAAAGCTTGGGGTTGCGAGACCCTCACGGACGGGGGTTGGAATCCAGGCGGGGGCAAGGACCCCCATATAGCCTTGATCCGCAACAAAACTATGAAGCCCAGCTCTGGGTGGAATAACGCCTGTGCCCTAGACAATTGCAACCCAGTTGTAGTCACAGTCCTGAAACCCCAGGACCCTGAATGGACGAAGGGCCGAACCTGGGGTATCCGGCTCTACGTATCAGGGACAGACCCGGGAACCTTTTTTACTATTCGCAGAATACCCTTAGTGAATCGACCCTTGCTAAGAGGCATAGGGGGAGGGCTACCCCTGCCCGCCCGGCCTGTTCCTACAGGCACGGCATCCCCCCGAAGAAAGTTCCATCGTGAGAGATTCTGGGAATAGCACAGGAAATAGGACTGACTACAATAGTCTCCTGGGGCCTAGTGAGGGATGGAACCAGTCAAAACCAGACAGACCCTGGCCTATGGAACAGAGAAAGCCGCCCGAGCAGGAGGCAAATGCCTTAGACCTCCTTGATAGGTTTTTCCCCTATTTAAACAAGACCCAGCCCGGTCTGACAGAATCGTGCTGGCTATGTCTCAGTCCCCGTCCACCCTTTTATGTTGGGGTAGGGGCAAATACCACAGAGAATTCCTCAGAGCCCATCAAAGTGACCAAGGACAATTATCCGTATCATATGCCAGAGTGTCACCAGGAGGCCACTTTAAAATTAGCAGATTTTCATGGAAAAGGGACATGCTATCTCTTGGCCAATTTCTCTTCCTCATTATATGAAAATTATTGTACCAGTTATGTGTATATGCAGGAACAGACCCCCATACAAGAGGAGGAACCTGAGATTCTAAAGGCTCAGGGAGGGACTATGGTTTGCTTGTACAAGAGGAGTCATGAAATGCATAGCCCCCATAAACCCTGATATTTGTGTTAGTGCCTATATCATTCCCCAAGTTTATCTATATGGGGGAGATTCTAACTTCCTGCCACAACCCTCCCCTCGAGTTAAGAGGGTCCCCCTGCTTGTGCCCATCGTAGCTACAATCGGAATAGTACGCTCTGCTGCCCTAGGGGCAGGTGCCCTTGTGCAGGGAGAAATGAGTCTATGACAGCTGTCACAAAATTTCTCTAAGGATGTGTCCCTACTACAAGAGCAGGTAATATATCTAGAGAAGCAAGTAGACTCGCTAGCAGAAGTAGCCCTCCAAAATAGGTGAGGATTAGATCTTCTGTTTTTGAAGCAGGGAGGGCTTTGTGCTGCTTTAGGAGAAGAATGCTGCTTTTATGCCAACCACTCGGGAGTGATAAGGGAAAACATCAAAATTTTGACTCATAGGTTAAAAGAAAGGGATAGTGAGGAAGGTGATTCCTCCTGGTATGCCTCCATGTTTAAAGCTTCACCCTGGCTGACTACCCTAGTGTCGGCCTCAGCTGGGCCGGTCCTAATCCTCCTACTAATCCTGTTGTTTGGCCCAATAATATTGAATAAGCTCATAGCATTTGTGCGGGACCGTATAGAGGTTGTGAAACTGATGGTACTGTCCCAGCCCTATACTCTACTAACCACAGAAGACACTGAGTCAAGGGTTTGACAAAGGATGAACAAGAAAAAGGGGGGAATGAAGGGGCCAGGCTTTAACACTAGGTCAAGCCTGGGCCGAAACAAGAAACTAGAGCAGACAGTGCCCCAAGATGAAGGGAAGAATTAGAGCCCCCCCTTGGTAGCAGGATAGGACAACGGCTGAGCCTTGACTCAGACAAATAGCCCATGAAAGCAGGGTCAGAGCTGAGGATAAGGGAGAAACAAATACCAAGAAAAACATATCAGGGTGCAGCCCCCATGCAGCTGGGCCAGAGTCGACAAGAATGAGGAGGAGGCATAGGGCGAGGGTTGAGCCTTGCCTCGGATACACATCCTGACCAGAGAAAGAGTAGGGGGCCCAGTAACAGCCTTGAACCTAATCAGCAAAAAAGAAAGAAAGAAGCTGCCTATCGCTAACTGCCACTTCTCGCCCTTGTATCTTGCTTGCTTGCTCTGCTTATAAAAACCCGTGTACCCTTACAGCGGTGCGCCTTTTTCCTTTCGAGGGAAAGGTGGCCCCTGCGCAGGTAAAACTTGGCCAAATAATAAAGAGTGTGTGATCAAACTCTAATTTCTGAGCTCATACTTGTGGGGATCGTAACAACCCTGACTGTGGCAAGCCCTGGGAAGTGCTCATCTGCTGGATGCACGTTACTCTGTTCATTGTTAAGACTGGGAACTAGGGGAATGACTTGCCCACCACCTCAGCCACAGGTTAGGGCTGCTGCCAGGTAGTTCAGACACCCCAGAACCCCACCCCCCTGAGCTGCCACTCAGGAAAGTGAACAGAAAAGAGACCCAGACGCCCTCCTTGCCTTGGTCAGAGATGAAATGTCAGTATCTGGCTGGCCTTAGGCCTTTCAGACAGATGCAGGGGAGGACATTGGGAGGGCAGTGGATTAGGTGTTGGGCCAGCTCTCTCCTGCTCAGGCTGTCCGCCTGCCACCCGCTAGGTCCCTTTAGAGGAATGACCTGTCCAGAGAAGCTGACCTTGGCTGGAACTCAAGAGTGACCATTCAGTGCAGTAGGGGAGCATCTGAGGCCAGGAAAGTCCCATTTGGGGGGACTAGTGATGGCCCACGCGACATAAGACGTGAGAGTGCACAGCCAGGAAGTTCGCACTGAAGTGGGCACTCAGGTCCTTGTTGGATGAACACATAAACAAACGCAGCTAGCTCAGACCTCCCTTTCTAAAGCCATCATTTCATTATTTCTTTAAGGGGCTGGGCTGCTACAATCGCTTCTGCCCAGAATGTGCTCCCACCTAGGCCTCTGCTACCCTCTAACATGCTCCTTTTTGTCAATTACAGCCCCTAAAGTACGGTCACCTGACCCAGATGTAGCCAATGGAAATCTCTACCCTCCGGACCACATGATTGGGCTAGGGGTGGGCATGTGATCCAAGTCAGCTAATCACCCTTCCCAGGCCTTTCTTCAGGAGCTACCAGGGAAGACTTTTGTTTGGGGGTTCCCTGCTGACAGAAAGTGAGTCTGGTGACAGCTGCTTTCTTGTCCCTGAGTGGAGAATGAGGCCAGCCAGGAGGAGGAGAGCCCCAGTACCAAGTGGATGCTGGCCTGAACGTCCCCAGGGACCAGCTGTCAGCCCGCGCCCAGCACTCACACAGTGGGCACAGAAGGTACATACCAAGGTGGGGGCATTGATGATGGAGAGGTTATAGCCAAATTGAAAAGTCCCACCAATGCCGGCTGCACAGATGGTCATGAGCAGGACCTTGCCCTGGATCTAAGGAGAGAAGGGAGAACACAGTGATTAGTAACAGCCTCCACCTCCCTCTCGGGACCAGAACCTAACAATTAAAGCAGTGCAATCTATCTGAACCAGGCAATGAGAGGAAACCAAGGCACAGAAGAGTTACCTAGGTCTCATAGCTGGCAGATAGCAGAACCCAGTCTTCTGCTCTGAGCCCAGGACCTCACTATTTCCCCACCCCCTACCTGTGCTGAGGACAGATACAGCCAAGGAAAAGACAGACATGCGTTTACCATTTGGTGAGATGCTGTGCGGGGGTGGGGGCGGGGAGAGGCAGAAGAGGCTCCAGAGGGCAGGATTCTGCCACAGGTCTGGAGACAGGTCCATGACAGGCACCCTGGCTGCCCACAATTCCTGCAAGACCCACATTACTTCCTCCCAAGCCAAGGAGAAAGCCAGGTGAGAACTCAGGGGTTTCCTTCACTGCAGTTACACGAAAGCTCCACACAGACTGCACGGAGGTGAGAGTTCCACTAAGATAGCAGATCTGCAGGCAGCAGCAAGGGACACAATGCCTGATGACAAGTGAGCCCGTGGGGCAGGAGGTGCAGGTCTCCCAAGACAGCAGCAAATTGTTTAATTCACTGAGATCATTCATGGAAATTGCCTAGAGTCATGACTGCATGAAGACATTAGCTATAATGGTAATTATTAATTCAGTTAACAATATTTCTTGCCTCCCTAGTATGGACCATAAACCTACTGTTCTAGTGATGGGGAAACTCAAGAGCTGGGAAACTTCATTTTTAGGTAATAGCTAATAACCTTAGCAGTTAATGCATGTGAAAAGCTATTGTTTCAGGAACTGAATGTACAGCCCACCCTGACTCCAAAAGACCACAGCAATTCAACCTTTGTGCTCCAGAAGAGCTCATGAGCAGTCAAGGTGGTATCTGAGCCATTGTGTTCCAGGGAGAGATATCCCAACACTCAAGACACAGATAAAGAACATCACCCAGGGCACAGGACCCGGATAGAAAATCACCAGTCAACGGACTGGGACCAGTCAACGGAGCTTTCCTTCCACTGCGGGACAACGGGCAGTAACAAAATGAACAAGGGAAATATAAGTCAGCCGGTGTGACTCAGACAGGAAGAGGGAAAGGGTGAGAGGGAGTGTTTGGAGAGGGTAGTCAGGGATATGCCCTGAGCAGGTAACAGCTGCACAGACTTAAAAGGAGATCAGGGAAAGAGCCACCCAAATCGCTCATGGAAATCAGTGCAGGCTGCGGGGGAAACCCAGAGATGTGGCGGGCAGTGTGGACTGTCCCCATTCTCTCGGTGAAGCAGGACAGCAGGACAGTTTAATAGGAGCATGGAGAAGGAGATACAGGGTGGGGAGGGAGGTGAGGGTGGGAAAGAGTCAGAGTGGGGCGGAGGCAGCCAGGATCACGGCGTTACTGGCCTGTATACAAGGGTTGCGCGGGGGCATCGCCAAGGATGCTAGCAGGTCCTGCAGATGCGGGACCCCATGCAACCTTGCACTATGCTCTCCTGAGCCCACACACTGTACAAACAATCACGAAATATTTTTTTGTACATCTGACGTCTCCGTTAAGCCTTCCGTAGTGGCTGCGCCTATGCAGTTCACGCCGCGCCGCAATTCCTCATCTGAAACGCTAGGACCTGGCGGGTTTCGGAATTCAGACCTCTCCAAATCGCAGGAGGGCATCGAGCACATAGCGAATTTCTCCAGCACTGGGGATCACAGTGGCCGGCAACACCGGCTTTGCCTCTCAGGGGAAGAGGCGAGGTTCGTGGTCCAGGACGAAGCGCATGCGCAGAAAGGGAAAGGCTGTGCAATCATTCCAACACCGCGCCAGTAGCCTCTGAGGGGCAGAGGTGGGGGCGCATGCGCAGTGGGCCTTTGAGAGGCTCAAAATCTGTCTAGAGGCCCAAGCTGTCGCGCAAGCGCAGTGTGTATTGAAATGGTCTGAGTTTAAGGCTTGCGCAAAGCATATTCTCCGCCAGAGAGCGCGGCAGAGGCGCACCCTACACGCGCAAAGTATTAAGGGGAAGGGGTTGTCCCTCGAGCAGGTCACTTGCTTCTGAAGCGCTAAGGGTGGCTTCAGATCGTTTTCCAACCGTCCCTTTCCGCAGCTCTGAGGCTGAAAAGCCACACACTCAGCCACACACTCCCCTGGGTTGAGCCTGGGGCGCAGACCGAAAGGGAGCTGTGATCCAAGGTACCTGGGCCGAGCCCCTGCATGCGCTTCCGCACCTCGCAGCCGATGGCTCTGACCACCGCGCTCAAGACTCACCCGAAATTCTGGCCCCTCGTCCCCTCCCCCGCTGCTGCCTCCGTAGTGAATCTCTGCAGGACTCTCCCTCGCTCCCTCTCGAACCTCAGCCACCATCCCTTCCAGCCCCTCTGCCTAGCTTCCATTTACCCCGACCTGGCGTCCAAGTTCGCCACCAGAACCCAGGAGTCCCATGTTTCCGAGGCCCCTGACCCCAAGCGCATTCTGAAGGCTGAGCTCTTGATTTTAAAGACATCCCCACCCGCCTCCAGTTCAGGTTGCCCACCCTTTCCTTAGAGGAGGGGCAGAATTAGGAGGGCGCGAAAGGCAGACCCACCAGTCTCTGGAGCGCTCTCATCTGTCCGTTCTGACAGAGCAGGTGACTTTGAATGCAGAGAGCCGGTCTCAGGTTGCCACCAGGGGATTCATTACGTGAGGGGCCGGTAGCGCCCACGGTCCGGACGCACTCAGAGGTGAGGAACCACAGGGTCCACTGGGCTGGATTAATCTTTTATTTCTCAGGGCCGCTCAGGTCCCTCATGGAATCCGTGACTAGGATAACGCCAAACTGAAATTAGACCTTGCCAAAGATGTTTTTGTGGGTCACAGAAACTTAGACCTGAAAGTGACTGAGCAAAGACTGATAGACATACACTGGACATGTACCAGAATGGATATTTGCAGCGCCTCTATTGCTCATGCTTCATTTTTGTTTGAGTTTTGCTGCCCTGAATTTTTAAAAATCTCTCAAAACCCAATTTTTAAGGGAAAATGCAATACATAAAATATTAGCAGTTGCTAATTGCATGCTTCTTCTGCATCTATTGAAATGATCATATGGGTTTTCTTTTTTTTAAAATTTTATTGATTTGAGAGAGAGAGAGAGAGAGAGAGAGAGAGAGGAAGGGGGAGAGAGAAAGAGAGACGCTGATTTGTTGTTCCATTTATTTATGCATTCATTGGTTGATTCTTGTATGTGCCCTGACTGGGGATCCAACCCACAACAATAGAGCCCCTCTATAGGGAAGAGGCTCTAACCAACTGACCTACCTAGCCAGGGCCAGGGTTTTCTGCTTGATTCTGTTTATGAGCTCAATTACATTGATAGTGTTTCTAATGGTAAACTATCCTTGAATTCTTGGGGTGAACACAATTGGCTCATTATGTTGTAATTGCTGCTATTAACACATTGTTGGTTTCAGTTGCTGATAATTTATTTAGGTAATTTTTTTCCAAAACAACTATTTTTCCCCCTTCAAAAAATTAAGAGTAAAAACAATGGGCTAACAGTAACTGGTGGTGGGACAATTGATTATCTCTGTCAGGAAAAATGAAAATGGATATCTGCCTCACTCCATTCATAAAAATCATTCCAGGTGCACACACACCTACTGCAGAAAGCAAACTTTAAACATTTTTGAAGAAAATAAAAAGATACTTTTATAACTTCAGGATAAATAAGAATAAACCAAATAGGTTTCTTATGAAGATTTAACATCATTAAAATTAAAACTATGTGTTAAAAGACACCATAAAAAGGTGAAGCTGAAAACTACCAACTAGGAGAAGATGCCCACAAGCATATGACCAACAAAGTGTTTGTATTCAGAATATATAAAGAATTCCTACACATCAATAAAGAATAGAAAATGGGCAAAGGCTGTGAACAGGGGATTTACAGAAAACTGAAGTAGCAAACAAACAAACAAAAAATAAAAAGATGCTCACCTGCTGTTAGCAATCAGGAAATGCAAATTGAATCCACAACGGTGTATTTTTTCACACTCAGCAGGCTGGCAGCTTAATTCTGGCAATACCTAAGTGGCAAGAATCATTTGAAAGGTTCGTATGGCTGATGAAAATATAAATTGGTGCAGCAACTCAAAGTGCAATTTGAGCGTCGCTAGTAAATTCAAGTTGCAAATACCTGGCAACCCAGCAATTCCCGCAGTTCCACTCCTGGGTTTAATTTAGGGAAACTCTTAATACCACGTTCAAGAATTTCTGTTCACAAATGTAGTTTTCTGTCAGAAAACTGTTAACATCCAAATGTCAATCATCAGGAAAACGGAGAAATAAACTATGGTATACACTCGAAAGCCGCTCATTGGTGAGAAGCAAGGAAGTGGAGGAACAGGTAAATCATAATGCTGGTTCACACTAAAAAATAATATACCGTAGCTAAGCGGCTGGCGCTGACTCCCGCCGAGTCTGCCTCCACCCCCGGCCGACCGACTCTGCTCTTCCTTACACCTGCAGAAGAGGCGAGATCGCCTCCCCGACCCGGCCCATCCCAGAAAATGCCTCTGCTGTTACCCAGGCCTGGGGACCAGGGCTGGAGAAAGGGGCATCCCAGGGGCTCGGCCTTCAGACCCTCAGCGGTCCCATCCACCCCGGCCCAGGCTCCGCCCCCTCCGGTTTTCCAGTTTGCCCGACGCCACCAAGACCCGCTCCTGCCGCGAGGGGGAGACAAAGCCCGGGCTCTGAAGGATTCTGTACTGCCGAGCGCCGCCGCCTCCGAAGGGATCCGTTTTGGCAGAACAAAGGGGCCTGAGCCAGTGCTGCCCCAGGCGCGGTGGTACTTCATTACGGGTCTGCCTCCACCCGAGTCGTGCCTGACCCGTGACCTCCGGACTCAGGTGCCCCCTGCTGCACCTGCCTTAGGGTGACTTCACTTCCTCTGTCCAGTGTAGCAGGCCGGTTGGGCGCCAGATGGGTAGGAAGGCCTGGCATCCAGACCCACCAGGCCTCTACCATGCTGTGTGCCTTCCTCCTGCTCCATGGGGGTGGGACAGGGGTCTGGGTAGGTGCCTTCCCCCTACATCCAGGGTTCAGGCTGCACCCTGGCTTCTCCTCCAGGCTCAGCCAAGTGGCAGGCCTGTCCATCACTAGGGTGAGTGGAGGGTAGGACCCTACCGTGGGCTGGGGTACCTAGCACCTGGCCACCAATAGGCTGAGTGGCTCTGGGCCCACTTTTCTGCTTCTTTGAGACTCAGTTTCCTCCTATGTTAGTTGTGGTTTGTAGGAAGTGCTACAGCCTTTGCTCCACATGCAAGGCTACTCAAAGGCCCTTCCTCCTTACAGTCTTGTTCCTCCCACTTGGACTGGCATCTCTGCCCCACACCAGGATCCTCCTGAAGTGACATCCTGGTGGAGGTCAAGAGGTCTGCTGACCTCAGACACCAGGCTGCCACAGTGGGCAATGAGCCCACACCAAGCCCAGCAGGCTGGCCATGGGCCTGGCAGCTGCCAATACCAAAGGGGCGCCTGCAGTTCTACCAGCTACACCCTCTCTCTGAGCCTCCATTTGCTCACCTGTACAGTGAAGACCTCATAACCTACCCACTTGGTAGGCACTGGGCCCTCAGCCCCCTGTGTGTCTCTTGACCCTCCCAGCACTGAGCATCCTGAGGGTAGGCATAGGCCCCTTTTGATCCCCAGACAGACCCTACCCTTGGGTGGGTGGACATGGGTGGGAGAGCTGCACCCTAGCTGGACATCCTCAGCCCAAGCAGGGGTGCAGAGGGCAGGACCCTGGGGCAGCTCCTGCAGGCTCCACGCAAAATCCTGCTTTGCTCTCCCCCTACCTCAGAGCTGGCATTTACTCCAGTTCTGGGTCACATTTCCAACTTAATGATTCAAAAGAAAGAAAGAAACCCAACCTACAACCAGCTGAGGCAACCCCTCCTGGCCACTCTTTGATATTTGAGGACTGAACAATGGGGCTGATTGCGGATAGGAGACTTAAGTCATCTTAATTAGAAGGAAAGAATGTCCTCGTGGTTGGCTGTTCTAAAAATACAGCTGCACCCACATCTGGAGGGAAAGAGTTCGGGGGAGGTGGTGGTTAGGCCAGAGTCTGAAGGGCTGATGCCTGCATTCCACGGTTGGGGGAGGCCCCTCCCCGCAGGGCCATGGAAGGGGAGAGGGGAGGACACCAGAGCAGCCAGTCCCCTGTGACTGGGTCACCTGGTGCAGCTTTGGGATGGCGCTGAACAGGCAGGCCACCCCTTTTAGGGTCCACCCTCACCCCTTCCTCAAGCCTCTCCCCACACCACAGCCTCAGTTTCCCCAGCTACGGAGGGACACTCAGGGCCCAGGTAAACGCAGGCCGGTTCTTTAACTGACCCCCTGCCTGACCTGGGTGCAGCGGGCACCCAGCCACAGGCTTCAGAACAGGGAGGGAATTGTTTCTGGGTTTTTTGATTTAGGGTAGTATTTGTCAGCTTCTATGAACTTGTCATTTGTTTTGTTCTCATTCTTATTCAAAGCAAATATTTACTTCTGTACCTAATCTTGCATTTATAATTTTGCATTCATTTTCTTAAAGGGGCCCCCAATACCTCATGAAAGTGAAGGGCATGGGAGGGCTGGGAGAATGTCTTGAGCAAAATGCGCAACCAGAAGTTCTGGTGGTATCACCAGGGGCGGGGACATGGACACCTGGGTTACTGCCCCAGCCCATTTGTGGGAGCTTCCTGTCTCAGGCTCGGCAAGCACCTGGCCCAGGGAGAACCCACCCCGGATGTGTGTGAGCGGGGCCTGGGCTGCTTGGCGGGGATGTCCCTGTGGACACCAGGTGCGTGAGGTGAGTGAACCCTGGGCCTTTTTGAGCCTCTCCATCCCCCTGCCCGGAGCTGAGTCACTAGTCCTGGGCAGGCGCTCCCAGAGTGGTGGCCCCTGTCGTTCCAGGTCCCTGCCAGACCACAGACCAGAACTGCCTGGTGATCTGACCAGCAGGTGATGAGTAGGAAGACGTAGGACAGTGTGGCCTCGGGTTCCACACCGGCACCCAGGGCCACACTGCCCAGGCCCCAGCAGCCCCCGGGTATGCGGCCCAGACTCGCAGTCTTCTCACCGTGTCTCCCAGTTCTGTCTTTGCGAACTCACATTCTGGCCCTGTCATTTGGCTGAGGCTGCCAAGCAGATAATCTGCTTCTCCCAAAACACAGCCTGCCTGAAAAATAGCTGAGGTGGGGGAGGGGGAGGCCCAGTAGACACTGGGGCTCTGGGGACAGGCTGAGGTGGCTTTCACATCCTAGCAGTGGCCACAGCAGGAAGTGGGTACTAGAGGCAGTTGCTGAGGGTTGTGAGAGACCTGCACAGGCTCAGGCTCGCCTGGCAGCTGGGGCTGAGTAGGACCATCTCGCCCAGTCATCGAGGGCTGGAGACAGCGAAACCGAGGCGCCCACAGGGAGCCACATGCCCAAGCTGCGTGGCAGGGGAGCATCCAGGGAGCAGAGTCCTGTCGGAGATACTCCAGGAGCCCAGAGGTGGTAGAGAGATTTGGCCTCCGAACGACAGCTGCAGGATGGTCTGAGGCTGCGTGATGCTGGCTGGTTGGTGATGCCCTCCGTGGGCTCAGGCAGGTGATGAACCCCCTCTGTGCCCCCAA